ATGCAATTAAAAACTCGCATTCAGTTGCAGCTTTTATTATATTATTTACAGTTCATAATGTTTTTTTGTTGACAAATCAATAATAAATGGTGTGTAGAGGTGGTGCATGGACTTAAACACCGAAAGACATCCACATTCTTTTGCACACACAAGAATATTATCAGATTGTACTTCCAGAGTGAGTTGAAGTTGTGGCTGTAGGAATCATGGAGGAAAGAAAACACTACTCAACCAAAATATCCAATTTGTGCCCGTTTCAAACCCACAAGAACTTTGCAGTTCAAAATTGTCGGGATATTATATACATCCAGACTGCAACATCAAACTTCAAGGAACCGGAAGTAACCGAGGTAGGTAGGCAGTCGGACCACGAAGCTATAGAAAAGAATAACTACTCCCTAATCATGCTAATTGGCTTCTGTTTTGGGTAGATCCAACATGCACAAATTTATATACTGGTTTAGAAGGCTTACCTGATAGAGTAATCGTCTTGAAGTCGTTTTCTGTCGTCCTTTCTTTTTGTGAGGTGATGGGATCGAGTTCTCTTGGTAGGCTTGGTCATGTTGGTTTTGTGGATTTGGCATGTCGCAGGGTTACGTCATGGTGAGCTCATTTGTGCATGCTGTTGAGCGTGATCGTGCTGTCACACATGGTTGGGGGTGTATAGTGCAGTGTGTACATGTACATGTGCGTGTACAGTACGTACTTGGCATTGCGATGCATTAAAAGTGCCTTGAAGGACAGTCCCCGTCCAACGTGTTGTATTACATCCACGACATTCCGAATTTAGGGCTCTTGACTACAGTTTAATTTGTGAGTCGATGATCGAAGTAGAAACTCAAAGAAATGTCCCTTTTACGGCAAGTGTAGCTACTGACTTTCCACAGACTTGTGACAATGCATAATTTCTCTGGATTATGATTTCTATTTATGCCTCTTCAGAAATATAACAGAAAGTCACACGTCTCATTGATGAAGCTGCTAGGCTGTCAGAGGAGTCTTGGGCTTCCTCCAGCGAATTCTTCTCGAGGTCTGCATCCCCTGATGAGCTGTGGCCCATCTCAGAATCCTTGAAGCCATCTGGTGGTGGGACCACAGGTACACCTACCGCCGTGTCAGTCTCGTCTTGTCCAGAAGTTGAAGCTTCGGAGGGCGTCACATCGAACAGACACAACATCAGCATGTTGCGGTGCAGGGTTCTCACAACTGGGGTGCCGACTCTCTGCACAATATAAGACGGAATGCCCTGCAATTTCTGTACCACTACATGCGGGACGGCTTCCCACCGGTCCTTTAACTTCGACTTCCCTCGCTCCGATTTGTTGGCCACAAGGACTCTGTCTCCTGGTTGTACGACACTTTCACGCACCTTCTTGTCATACTCCGCTTTCTGTCTGGCCCTTGACTTCTCCGCAGTCTTCTGTACCTCCAGAAAGACCTTGCGCATATGCTGTCTGAGTTGCTGGACGTATGTTGAGGGATCAGGACTGGGTGTTGAGTGCTCTGGGTCTGTTTCTGTGGCTGGACAAAGCAGGTCAACGGGTACCTTTGGTTTTCTCAGGAACATCAGATGAAACGGGGAGTGTCCGGTGGACTCGTGTCTGCTACAGTTGTATGCGTGTGTGAGTGCACCCACATGGATTGCCCAATTGGCCTTCTGACTTGGTTCCAGAGTTCCCAACATCGATAGCAGAGTTCGATTGAACCTTTCGGTCATGCCATTTCCCTGAGGGTGGTAAGGTGTAGTCCTTGTCTTCTTCACCCCGAGCAAGCTGCACAACTCTTGGATCACACAGGATTCGAAACACCTCCCTTGGTCTGAATGCAATCTCTCTGGGATACCATAATGAACCATAAACTTCTCCCAAAGGACACGTGCTACTGTCGTTGCCCTCTCATCTTTCATGGGATAAGCCTGTGCGTAGCGACTGAAGTGATCTGTGACTACCAAGATGTGCTCACATCCTCCCTTTGACCTCTCCAGGGACAGGAAGTCAATACAGACAAGTTCAAGTGGGCGAGTTGTGCGGATGCGTTCCAGGGTGGCCTGTTTCCTTGTATCCGGCGTCTTCCACAGGGTACACCTCCTACACTTCTGGATGTAAGCCTTGACCTCTGTGTGCATGCCGGGCCAGAAATAACGGTCTTTGGCATGTTGGAAAACCTTCTCAAAGCCAAGGTGCCCCAAGATGCTTGAGAACTTGTTTCCTCATCAGCCGGGGTAGGACTACGACAAACTGCCATTTACCACCATCGTTACCCTTCTTCTGATAGACAAGTTGGCCATCTTTCACCGCCAGCTGATCCCATGCACGCAATAACCTCCTGACTACACCAGACTCCTTTGCTGCACGCCTACATGTATACCAAATGATGAGGAGTGCTTAAGCTTGTACAACCTCTGCATAGTGGTAACAGATTCAGAAGAATACAATCAGAACTACACGTACATGTACACACATTAACTGGCAATGCATATACGGTGTCCTTGTCAGGATATACATGTACAATGGTAACAAGTTGGTGTGGTATCAGTATAGGGGTGAACAGAACCAATACAAGCTCCACTGAATAGAGTTGAATGTTCAAAGTCTTTTCAGCAGCCATTTTTCAAATGACTTCCCTCACCTTTATCAGGCTTTTCAGGCAAATTTTAAAGTTTTTGTCTGCTTTGCCCCCATACGGATGCCCCCAAATCTGTAGAGATGATCTTGGGCCCTATTGACACAATCTCACAATTTATTGATCCACACAGACCACTTTTTCTAAAGAATTTAAAGGGGTTGTTTCACACGCCAGGCCGCCATGGCCTGGCGGAGAATTTCCCTTGAATTGGGTCACTGCTACCAAAGGGAGAGGTTGCTAGGGAAACTGCTACCTAGTCGTGTAGTGGTGGAAGGAAGAAGGTGGTCCAGGAATCTGGTCTTCAATTTAGGGCTACTTCATTACACAACACCGTCATTTATTTTAAGCCAACATAGTATTACTGCATGTATATGGTAAATAACAGACAAAATTTTGACCGGTTACGAGACAATAATGAACAGTGACCGCTATTGTTCCAATTACTGCCAATTTCCGGACACACTATCTGCTGGACACTATACTGTGCTTTCTGTATCTTCACTTATATTTGCGGTAAAATTTCACCTTCATTTGTTTCAAAATTTATAGCTGAATAGGCCCCGGCTGTGATTACATATTTTTCATGTTTTGGCAGAGTTTGGCCGCTACCATGAATTTTCCTTGTTTTCCAGATTTTTATTCTTGACAAGAAGCGTTTGGTAGCTAAGAAAGTATCAAGGGAAACCTGTTTGTGCAAGCAAATGTCCGACAATAATCGGTTTACTTTCGTTTCTTTAAAAAGACAATCCAAGATAATTTCAGTAATATTGAATTAAAGTTTGTATGGACGGGAAAGAAAAAGTCATCATCTTTCTTATTGTTTGAATTAATATACAGCTTTATAGACGGGGGTTCTCCTAGCTGATGTGTTTGAATGTTTTGTAATGTTTGCATGTGATCTTTGGTTGATGTCAGTTTTGATACACTGATTGCGATACCTAAGTATGTGCTCAGGTGAGCCCCTGGATAGTAAGATAGTACATGGATACAGTTTTTTCCGACTGGGAAATCAATACCAGTCTCCGGCATTGCTGCAAGGCCACATTATTGGGTGGGTAACGCCTGTCAACACGTCGCGGTGTACGATCGTGTCTGGTCCTCGGAGACACCAAAGCTCGCTTGTGTACATTAGCGGTTTGACTTTATGATGTGTAACAGGGGTAATGATGGCTGACCTGTTTCTCTTTTTTGTGTAGGGGAAACAGTTGCATAATGTGTGAGCGCCGCAATACGGGTGTTACCTGTAGGCCTATATTTACAATCGACCCCACAATTGCAGTGCTGCAGTCACTGTACATGTGTTGGAATAGTTTGAAAAAAAGTGACATGGTGTGTCAGCTTTGTAGACACTGATACAGTTTGTGTATCGCTCAACGATTTCCCCACCCCACAACAGACCCACTCCTTGCGATGAGGAGTTTAGGCCTATGCAACTCCCATCGATTCAGCACTCCATGACATTCTTCATTATACGCTCTTGTGTCAATCGGGCTATATATATGTTAGGACATCATGAAGCATGCAGTGGAATAGGGCGTTCCGCATTCTTTGCTCTCGATAAAGTAAGCCTCTCTGAAAAGTCATGTTAAAGACCATGTAAACTTTGTGTAATGGAAAGTAATATCTTCACGCAGGAAAAGTGTGGTTTCTTAAACATCCAGCCTAGTTGGTTGTATGGCTTCAGTATCGTTAGACATGGAAATTCAAAAGTGTTGGCTACAAAACAATACACCTTAACTCTCAACTGCAAATTATGAGTCTTAATTGGAACACAAACCCGGAAAACTGACCCTTTTCCGTTATTTTGAATAGGACTATAATATCAGCCACCGCATTTTGAATTTTGCGGGCATTTCAAGACGTAATGGACGTGGGAAAGTTTCAACTGCGAGGATGATATTTGAACGACGATGATATATTATATTCATGTAAATTTTTTGGGGGGGGGCATTATTTCTTTCATGCTTTACAAAAAAATTGGTCTGGGAAAGATTTGTCGAACAAATCAAACACCACACTCCTTGGTGGCTAAGCATATTGCAAGTTGAGTGGGACGGGGAGCTAGAATTGGTGGCTACAAGTGCACGCCCCAATTCCCATCATTCCCACATCTTGCTTGACAAAGGCAAGTTTCAGTGATGGATTCCAACCACCCACAGGCTTCTCCTTCAACCCAGTAACAAACTGCCAAATGTGGTGAAGTTTAATTACTTCCCCGTCCGGATCTCCGTCTTTCCTTTGTTGTCCAGCTGCAAACAAAAAAAAAGAAAAAAGGAGGGAGTTCCGATTGATTAATTTTATAACTGCATGGATATCTCCTTTCGGTACAGATCATTCTGGAGAAATACATGTGGGGCCTAGCCGGTCTTGGTCTCTCATTTACCTTCCACTTCGCGAACATATTTGACAAAGTGTCCCATCATCATTTCCTCCTTGCCCCTTATACCTGTCCCGCTCTCGGAGAAGATGGCTTCGAAGGAAGAAATTATTGTTTTTGACGTGAGCGCTGGCGGTGGAACATTGTTGTGCAGAAGACGGATGCATTGTGGAAACGTCCTCATAAGCTGCATAGTGTTTAAAAAAATGTACATGTAACTTTTGTTGAACATTCACAACCAAAGTTCAGGTGAAACATGGTCTATGTAGAAATGCATATCAGGTAGTACTGCGAAGAAGGAATCGAAGTACACGTTATAAATTAACTCAAATCTGAACATGTGCATGAAACCATATTACGTGCAAACCAAGACATTGACATTCCACATGGATGAAGTTCAGCGAATAAAACATGCCAATACTTGAAAAATGAGCATCAGAATCACCAAAGATCCACGTTATTGGCAAATAACATTGTAATCCATGCCTTGTAATGATGAAACAATTGCCTTATGACAATATAACGTTTGCTGTTGCACCCCACCGACGACAAGTCAAAAATAATTACACTTAGAACGCCGGTCTTCATAAGGCCATCCGAAAGTTGTTTGTCACATGCATCCGCCAAATTCCCTTCAACCAGTGCGAGATTGGCACACAGAAAATGCGGAACCGGCCCATCCTGAAGAATGCATAGACCTTGAAGAAGATAAAAACACAAAGATAAACAGCGTCACGTTTGGTACATTTTGATTTGATGCAACACTCCATGAGGATTAAGTGTTACTTTATGCATGAAAGCAAGTCGTGTTCCACTGCGCCATGAGATATTTGTCACTGCGCAATCGGACATGTTCACTGCGCGATGATGGATCATTTGGCCTTTCTTGCCTAGGTGTACATGTAACTGCAAACGCAGAACAATTCTGAAGGTAAGATAGTTGCTATTGGGCGCCATACTCTTTTTTCTTCTGTTGGTTTTCAGGTTTTTCTTTCAAGAAAGGTATCACCCGCACCACTGGAAAGGATAGGAATGTGCCGTTTTGACATAATTGTCATATTGGCTTCTAAAACTTCAACAAATCTTTTCGATAACCAGACTGATTCTTGCATTGTCAAAATAAATCATGTGAAGTTAGTGAGGAGTACATGATCCTTAATATAACTTTTTGTAATGTCTCAGCAAAAATGTCAAAGTTAAACACAAACATATTTTCGGACAGGAATCTAACATGAGATGCAAAATAAATGTTGTTAGAATTTCGAGTTCGGTTTTTATACAGCAGTTTTTTTTATTGTGAACTAAAAAAAAAGATTTCAGCTTTTACGACCTAAAGACTCATTTAAATTCAACGATAACGATTCCTGCGACATAGTACACCTTCTTCTCAAGGTAACTGTCAGCCTGGCTACGGTCGAAGTCTCTTGACATGTCAGGCCCTGTCTTTACCCGATTGACTATTTCGTCCAAGCACAAGCGCAGGAATTCCCTGCGGGGTTCTCCCAGATCTTGCCCCCTTTCCCCCATAAAAGTTACTTTTAGGGGTAGGCGAGGGTTTAAGGTCGGAACGGCCAGCTCGTCCACCATGCTACCAAAAATATCAAACCGTGACACCATTACGTCGTAGGTATGACCTTCCTGGAAACTGTCTCCGATTCCATCAGGGAGATTAAGGGACCAGCCGTCTAAGACCACTTCACGAAAAGCGGTCACAATGTCGGCGACGTCCGAATTGCCGTCACTGAAATCAACAAATAAATACCTGTAAAAAGTGTAAGCCAAAGATTGCAAACCTCACTCAAGCATCCTTCAGCTCGTCAACCAACAAGAAAATTTTTTGAGTACACTCACTTGTATACCACATTGGCTGTAAAATAACAATGATGTGTAACCCTAATTCCATATAGGTCCAGTTACTGACTAAATTTCATTTTGTATTTTTCCAGGAGTGTGTTGTAAACTCACTTTTATTTTTCTTTTCTGATCAGATCATTTCTATTTTTTTCTTGCTTTCATACAACTGGAGGTTTGCCATCAGTAACATTGAATGTCTTTGCATGAAATGGTTCTTTTCCTTGTTAACTGAGTGGGTCAACTGATCCCACACTCATTATCTCAAACTTTTTCCTGGGAGTGTCACGTTGGTACAACCCATTTTGCAAAGGGCCAAATTGTAAATCGGCTGGTCCTCCTGCCACATTTTGTGAACTAGCCCGCATACCGTCAATACTGCCACTCTTCCTTGTGAACACTTTTCACGCCAGTATTTGAGATACATGTACATGTATTGCTCTTTGCTCCTGGCATCCACTTGGAGACTCTGACTGTAGCATCCTATTGATGATCCTGATCTGCAGCTGGAACTGCACTCTTGAACCAACAGCTACTGTCACCAGAACTATGCAACGCTGGGCAACATTGTTATGACACCCTGATTCGAGCCTCTGGACAGCCCAAGGTCCTGTGTTCTGTAGATCCCATAGCTGATACTTGTTGATCCAACCAGGTATTTAAGCCAGATTAACAACTTTCTAATGCGAGCCAAACACTTGTGATGGTTAATGAATGAGAGCCTTACTCATACGCAGGCCTAGTGCCACTTATACAGGATGCATGTATGTCATTTTCTTGGCTTAAAGGTTGTTTCTCAGTTTTGGGTTTTTATTTTCACACAGTAATTCAGTAAATTTCATTTCATGTTTTAGTGTTATTCTGTCAAGTCTGAAGAGCCATTTTGAAACAAATCATTCTGTTTGGAGAGAATCATCCTTTCAGATGAAAGGAACACTTACAAGCCTTCCTGTAGAAGACGAAGGATTTCCGTGATTTCTTCTCTTGGTTCTCCAGAAGTGGTTT